TTATTCAAACAAATAATAGCATTTAAAATATAAATTATGCATTCTAATGTCTTACCAAATTCTGAAATTCTAGATTAAATCGACTTTTCTACTAATGACAGTTTTATTAATATGCTAAGTAATGTCATACGATGAAATTTGAGGGGATGTATAATAGATGTGTATAAGGTGTGGCAGTATTTACGGAAAGGGGAAAAGATAAACGTTATGTAATTTATCATTCTTGACAAATGATTGTAAGTGGAGGAGGCTCTTGTTCTCGAAAGCTTGTTTTCTAAGCCTTGTTGCGTATGTAAATTTCCTAAACTTTTGTGAGACTGCTATTGTTTACTAGATTGAAAATTAGAGACTTTCTTTATTCATGAAAAATTACAGCTAATGAAGGAGTTGAGGCCGTTGCTCAGGATAGTATGACGGATCGTCGTGTCGCAGAAATGTTAGATCAAGTATCAGAATTGAATATAATTGCGCGTTTTAGAAAAGGGTACGCTTTGGATTCATTTAAAAGTGCCTTAGAAATAAACTTTGCTTTGGATTAACTTAAATTCAAGTCTGCAAAGTTTTCGCTTGCTGGTAGTTTGAAGGAACTGGGCTAAACTTAAAATATTTGAGGGAAACTATTTGTGCGGCTTCAGAATAAACAACTGAAGTTCAACGTAGAAATTGTCACAAATAAAACAAATAAAAATATCGCTGGTAAATTGTGGAATGTAATCAGTCCAACTTTATCACATGGTTGATATTAAAGTGAATACAGTAGAAGTTATAGCGCTTCACGTGGAAATTGGAGTTATGACTCTGAAATTAGAAAGAAGATAAGTTGTTTAAATTAAGTTAGTTTTATATAGAAAAGCGTACAAGAGAAGGGATACCTAAGGATAGAACTTTTTAAGGAAAACTAGCTCTTAATCGCATAACACACGGGCAAAACCTCGAAAATCAACCATTCAGCCAGCATGTTCGGTTGGAATCGAACGCCCATCATTCAGTAGTCCTAACAACTTGGCCACTGTTGAGATGGAAACAGATGGGAATTGGAAAAGATTTATCTACGTCTTCCCTGAGAAGAATGGAACCGTAAATGATGCGACTTTCAGCTATGTTATACCAATTAAGTTTCCATATTGCATAGCTAATAATTCAATAGCTTTCGTACGGTAAACTGGAAGTGCAGGAATTGATTACAGTTTTACTTCCGAAAAAATTCATTTCATGTTGCACTTAAATCTTCCAACTTAAAAACCTCGCAGAGAACATAAAATTCTTCCGATTCTTTTAAAGACACAGTTGGATAAGAATCCAAAATTTCATCTGGTAGCAAAACAGATTTTTTAATGACCCTAGCATTGGTATTAACGCGATCCAGAATTCCCGCTCCGTAGCTGGTCGTAGAGTAGTTTGAATGTATTACGTTTGAAATTATCTTTGAATTCGAATTATATGCAGCTAAAAATCGTTTATTACAATTCACACATTCGAAATGTACGAATGTCGAATCTTTTGTAGTACAGGACAACACATGTCAAACAGTTTTCTCTAAAACAACGGTTCTCAACCTTTTTAGTTCTTACACTCTTTTCACAATTATTACCCCCCCTCCTCTTTTTCTCAAACTTTATACATATATACAGAGAGAAATACACTTAAATTTATATTATGTTTTAGCCTGTTTTATAAATTAACCAACAAAAAGCAGAGCATATATTTATAAATACCAAAACCTGAATAAAAGTTGCATTTTACATTCATAAACTATAACAAAATACTTAACGCTTACATAAAAGGCGAACGCACTCCCTCCCAAAGCTAAGAAGTTCCTCCCAACAAGAGAATTCCCCCTTGCTTGAGAACCTATTTTAGAAATATATATGCATCAAATTGATGCTCCAAAGAAAATTTGTCAACAGACCAGTTCGACTGTGATAAAATTTTTCTAGAAATAATTTATATCTTGAATTGGTTATTTCAATATACAAAAAATGAAATAGAATTATATGGTTTAAGCCTTTCATTAGCAATAATTGTTTAAAAACAAACCACTGTTAAAAGATCAAATTTAATTTAACGGTGGCCAACAGCAAACATTGGAGCATATCTCTAACTCTGAAAGTTTGACACTGCATGTTATTCTAAAGCGGAAGAAATCAGAAATGCCTTTAAGACACATAACTAAAAAATCCAAATTGTACTGAACATTGAGTAATTATAAACCCTTTTAATTTTTCGTATCTACAGAAATTGATAATCAAATTATTTTTCGAGGGATTAATATTACTTAGAACAAAGTTGACTCTTACGGGGAATTGGGCCGATATGTGCCTGTTACTTCGTGTTTTATATGCACGAAAAGAATGCGCAAACATGAAAGTAATTATTCGATTTTGCTCTGAGAGAAAAAAAAAAAAAAATAAAGTTGCAACAACTTCAGTCTTTCTATAAAGCTTCCCATGTCTAAAATTCAAGAGTAGCAAACATCCAGGTGCATCTTTAACTTTCTGGATAGATTTTATAAATTATTTTTCGATATTACGATATTACGAGCTTTTTATCATCTTTCTAAAAGCACTGTTATTGACTGATAATTGTATCATTTTCATGTGATTGACTGCATTGTATCTCTTTTTCCAAAATATTAATTACAAAAGACCAGTTAGTGCCTAAAGCCGATGAGCAATAGTATTTTCTTTCGATCCGATGGCTAAAACTAAAGTTTGAGTGAAGTTGAAAACTCGGCGAAAGGATTAGCTGCGTCATGAATGCCAGCCAGTTTGCCTTAGGAAGTCCTTAGGCCTTTTTACAAGAAGTCTCTCCACCAAACAAATAGCTCTAGTGTGCTTTGCCAAAATCTAATAATTCCCAATCGACTCTAGATTGCAATATCATCCTTCCTTCTTTAAGCAGGTGGTCTACGATCTTCTGCGAAAAATTCTTCAGCCACAGCACTCACTAGCGTCCAAGAGAATAAGGCTGTTGGAAAGTACGAGTAAATTCGATCCGAATTCAGATCCCATGAAAGAAACTGATTGGAGGGGAGGATGCGGGAGACAGTCCGTGTGTGCCATCAATCACATTCGCGCCTCAGACAGCTGACTTTTGTTTTGATTAACCAACATATTTTATTCATGATAGATCGTAGATTATGATTGCGCTTGCAGCCTAAATTTACTCTGTTTCTAATAACATATGTCTTTGGCATAAATGGATACAAATTGTGTGCTAATTAAATTTTCTAATTTCCTGAAATATTTTTTGATTATATGAAAGCATTCACCTCTTTTTATTGGAACTAAATACACGTTTAGAATCTCATTTCTGCTTTATCTTCCTCTAACACAAGCAAATATGCAAATCAATAAGAGCTGTTCGTAAAAGGTGATTTGATGAACATGTCCAGAAAAACAGAATCAAATCGGTACACATAATGTAGATGTTTTTGTGCAGTCTTAAAGGGTCTGTTACTTTAGATAATCATACAACACTAAGTTGTGGCTAATTTATTCAGGTTCAACTTAGATTATACGTTCACAATTATTTTGGCTATAAAAATGTATTTGTATAATTTTAAGAGTTTGTAATAAAGCATATCTCAGATATACTTTTAGTGAGTGTTGCACGAGATTTTAAACATGATAAATAACTATGGTCATTTAAGTGATGCATGTCAGTTTGAACTGCTTAAACTGGTAATGTTCAGCTTTAGCTTTCCTTTCCGATCATAAGTTTCCTGCATTTAGAGAAAAACTAATGCTATATCTTATGTTGAACTAGTTATTCTGCCTTTTAACCTTAAATTAAATGCTTTGCTAAAGTGTTTAACACAGCAATCTCCAATGTTTAGCCCTACATTCTGTTCTTAATACGGTCTTAAACATATTTTCCCGATTGTTAGAGTTCCAATAAATAGCTATTAAAATATAACGTCTAGAAACTTGAAATTAATGAAGAAAATTAACTGCTATGTATCAACATATAACCTTAGTTTTAGGCATTAGATTACAGCAAACGCAAATAATAAATTAACTTATTGATTACAGATTTAGAAATTCAGTTTGCATATATATATATGCTAGTGATTTGCAAGATACCACTACTGCTAAGTGCGATATTTTGCTACGATAGTTTACGGGTTAAAGAGATTGAAAGAATTAAAAAAAAAAAAAATTATCGCCAGCCTCAAAATAACTCGTTAACTGCTCATCATAATGTCGCCAAATACGGTGTGTACTGTATACTAGGATGAAACCAAAAGGGATGTCTAGTCGGATGATAAACTCAATAATATTAATATGGAATAGACAATCATCTTTATTTTACGGCACTTTCTGAAATGTCCAATCTAGCTTTCAATTCGGTTAAGCTTCCAGTTCTCGTATTTAAACTGCTCCAAGGGCTTGGCTTCAATTGATTGAACAAGCTATGCAACCCTCGCCTCTTGTTTTCAAAAAATGAGGAACTAATTCATTGCGTGAAATTTGCTCCACCCCAAATAATTAACCATATAGACAAGATGAACAAATTTTAATCACTTCTAGAAGAGCAGAAATATTTAACTTTCGAATGGAAAGGAATAGATAAATCGACAAACCAACGAGAGCCTAATAATGCATTTCATTACAGTAGAGCTTTCAATAATGCTAATAACAAAAAGAAAACATGGTTTATAGTATGTCTAAATATGAAATATTTGGCTCTAGTGTAGAATTGGATGCCCCTTCAATTTGCGACAATTTTTTTTTTTTTTTTTTTTTTAAATTTTGGCGATGGAACTTCACTTCTGGTTACCATGATAGTTTTAACTTGTTTTAGCTTCCTGACTTTATTTAAATGAAAATAGATTGATGTGTACATGGACAAATTTATGCAAAATGCGCGATGCCTAGTTTGTGCAATTCTAGGATGTTTTTTAAGTGAAAACAGATCGATGTGTACATGAACACAGAGTTTGTGCAATTCTTTGACTTCTTATTTTGGTTTTGTGTAGCGGCCATCTTGAAATTGTGCTTTCGTGGCCCCGATCTTGGCGTCAAAAAACAAGAGTCACCCAGTTGTAAACTTTTATATTTTATTGCAACGTTCCTGCGACAGCAAATGTTTTCGTTATTAGAAGAAGATCTAATATTTATTTTCTCTTACTGTTAGATACAGCAATTTAAGCTGATTATGAAATGCTATTAATGTTGCTAATTACGAAGCTTCTTACATATTTAAAAATACCACTTAGATTTTGTTTTGGATATACCAGTAATGTAAACCAAGCGAATCAGAAACATAATTTATATATAAACATGGCATCAGAGATATAAGGTGAATCACCATATTCCAAAGATTAGCCCAGATGTATCCACAAAAATGAAAATAGTTGTAACATTCATTAAATATATTACATACATATTTTAAGTTTCAGTTAGAAAGAATTTAAACCTAGTAATTTTTCATCAAACAGAACATCAAACGAAACTAGCAAAATTGGAAAAAGTTCTGATATTGATGCTTCTATTATTTTCCAATACATTAAATACATCATTTAAAAAATGCTAATATTTTACATATGTATGCTGTCGAAAAAATATTGCAATAGAAAATTACTTCGGAATCTGTACATAACCTAGTGATACGAAAAAAAAAAAATTTCGAATTTATGAATAGCTGCAAACTCTTATTATTTAGATTAGATTTTCATCCAAAATAAAACATTAAAATACAGACAAACTATCATTGACATTTATTTCCAGACAGTCCAGGTTTAACTATAATTTAAACGAAAACCGAACATTAAATTAAATGTAAGGTAATACAATATAAGCAAAGAAATGAATTGCATCTTTTCTAATTTTGTTTAAACACTAAAAAACTCAATACAACAGAAAATTTTAAATGAAATCAGCTTGTTGCATGTTAACAAGAATGAAAGAAACATTTTCGAACGTTAACAAAAAGCAAAACTCGCATATTCAAAATGAATGTAAAATCGGCCGTTCGGAACACTATACAACTGCTAAGCCTAAAACACGCATGATGTTTTACTTAAACATCAAGTAAAAAAGTTTTTTTGTTTTTCTGCTTAATGTTCCATGTTTCTTTACACAAGGCAACTTGTTTGCCTTTCTTGAAGTTGGAGATCCATGTAAACGGATAAAAATTTTAATATTAAGTTCCTTTGGAATCGAATTTTAAACAAATGGAAAAAAAAAAAAAAACACGTTAGTTTCAGTATTAAATGGAAGTTTCATAATATTAGTTATTTTGCTTCTTGGCTGTATCGCATAAACACAAAAAATAAATCAGAGTTAAATCTTCCTTTAAATAGTATCAATTAGCCTGCAAGTACAAAATTCCAATAGCCATTACCTTGCATATTTAACCGGATGCGGCGCCAAAGGACAAAGCGGTGAAGTTATGGCTATCTGAATCGCGTTCCATATGTTCCTTGCAGATTTTGCAAGCATCCTGGAGAAACGTGTCAGCTGTTGTCGGTCCACGACAAATTGGTGAATTTTTCAATCCATCTAATTCATAGAGTTTGCTTCCTACATTAACAAATGTTATGAAATGAAGCTTGCTTTCTTCATCTTCACTAGGCGTCTGAGTTTGTCCCTCTTCTGCAGAAGCTCCATGAACAGCAGCGATTTCTTTACAATTCGACAGTAACAGTCCTATTTCTTGGGGATTCTTGCCTTTAGCACCTTCTATAAACTTCCGCAAACATGAATCAGAACCGAGTTTCAGGAATTCTACGTTGTTAGCTATAGCATGAATTAAAGCCACAGTTCCACAAGAATTTGTAATTTGCTGTTTCATAAAGAATACTTCTTCATGCTTTTCCGACTTTTCACACTTCTCCAGCTTTTCACATTGTTCATGATATTTCGCACTTTTAGGAAATAGAAAAAGCACAGCCAAACATGGGCGTGGAATCTTGCTCAAATATTCTTCATCAAAAGAAATAATATCAGATATCTTCCATTGCTCAGGAACACCCACATTTTTCAGAAATTTATTCATTACTTCCGGATTTGACTCCATAGGCAACCATTTTGGAGAAGACATTATAAAACTTTGAATTTAATAATGGAATCCACAGAAATGAGCAATATGTACCGCACAGTGACTAAGTTACTTGTAAAAGAAATATAGCTCTTTATTTCAATCCGTTAGATACTACGCAAGCTAAATGTCAGAGTTTTCATCAAAAATTATAACTCTTCTTTCAAATAAAACAGAACGTTTCTTCACAAGATAGCAATCAAGAACACAGACAAAACCTCGCGCTAATCTCTAACCAAACTAACTAACTTGATTTAATCTAAGTTTGCTTCCGCATTAATATAAGAAACATATCGTTTGGTGTCAAATTGGCGAGATAGTTTTAACTGCCAAAAATTAAAACAATGCTCCAAACAATCGATTTCATTAACTTTCTAACTGAAAAAATAATGTAAATAGCAAAACGTCATGTAATTTAGATAATAGTAATAATGATAAATAATATTAATTCAGGCAAAACAAAATATTAGAATCTGAAAAACCACCACACATTAAATAACATACCCAAATCCCAAGCTGCGTGTTTTAGATGCGCAAACACAGAATTCTATACATTAACCTTTCAATTCGCAAACTTGAATACATTTAGCGAAAAATATGTTTATTTGGCAGAAGTACAAATCGTGCAAAGCGCATTTTCTGATAGCAACAGTATGCAAATTTAAAAATTATACTATAATTCTACTACTAAGTTAGTCGACATAAATGTGGAATGCTTACTCGAAAAACAAGATTTTTAATAATTTACAAGCAAATAGGTAAATAATTTACTTACAATTTGGAAACTTTGATAGTTTTAAAACGAATTTATGATTAAAATTTTTTAATTAAAAAAGAAAAATCATCGTTTAAAAACTAAAATTAGCATATCTCCTGCTGTCTATTTATAAAATTAACTATTTACTTGTGAATAAAATTAAATTCAACTTCCAAAAAAATTTGGGCACAGCTTCAGTATAGCCTACCCGGAATTTTAAACAAAAAAATATCGCTAAAAGCGGCGATAAATGATATGATCTGGTAACCCATACTATCCGCCAAACGCAATGTAAACAAGAGGATGGAATTACGGTTACAGCTAATATAGTAGTCAGTTACATTTATTCAATTTCAATACAAATTACCGAGATATCCGTTTACTCAAAGTTTAATGCACGTGCTCTGTATTCTTACTTTTCCAGTATAGATTTCTCTTAAAATTTGTCTCACGCTGCGTTGCAGGGGGAAATAGAACATTTTAAATTAGAATTCTATTAAAATTAGTATTTAAATACACAATCCGTAACACTGTTATTGGCGATTGTTTAACGCTCAGATACCTTGAATACTATTTTGTATATATTTTTTTGGCTACTTTGGAAGAGATATTTTTGCGTTTATTTATTGCTTGTTCTAAAACTGCTGTTAGTGATGTTGTAATTAAGTATCAGGAGATTATAAAGGAAAATTTAAGTTGGCAGTTTTCAAATAAAATTTGGGAACAGATATTTTATGTGTGAATTAACAAAACAGTATGAACTTTTTAGAAGATTTTTGATGGATTGTCGATTATTGAAGGATAACGTTTGTTGTGAGAAATGTAAGACACCATGCTGGTTAGTTAGTCAGAAAATGTCATCGAATGGTAGTACTTGGAGATGCAAGAAGTGTAGGGCTGAGAAATCAATTAGGTTAGGATCTTGGTTCGCCTGTAGTAAGCTCAATTTTTCTAGAGACATTTTTTTTTTTCATTTTTTTTTTACAACGCGAATCAGTGGAGTTGCTTATGCGCGAGTTTCTGCAATTCTTCGATTTCTTTTAAGTGAAAGCAGAGTTCTTAGTATATAAGCAATGCAGAGTTTATTCAATGTCTGATTTTTAAGTGAAAAGAGATAGCTATATACATGGACAAAGCCAATGTTGTGCGCGGCGCCTAGTTTGTGCAATTCTCGGATGTTTTTTTAAATGAAAATAGATCGATGTATACATGGGCAGAGCCAATGTAGTGCGCAATGCCGAGGTTGTAGGCGGTGCCTAGTTTGTGCAATTCTCGGATGTTTTTTAAGTGAAAATAGATGGATAGTTAAAAAAGCCATTTTCGTCGAAAATCTGGATGGCAACCATTTTTCAAAACAACGTATTTTATGTGCTTTGGCGCCAAAACAAATTCGCCAGACTATGCTGAAGGTGGGCTATACTGAAGCTGTTCCAAAATTTCAATTTTTTAAAACTCCAGCATTTGCTTCTGCGTCTCTTTAAAGAAAAAAAAAAAAAAAAAAAAAAACTATCAGTTTGAGTACAAAGCAATTCAGCCTCTAATTAGATGGTCTTGGATCATATCTTTACTGCTGGCTTTAGCTATTAGGAGCTTTTACCAGTATATTATCATTATACCATAGGCCAAAAAGTTAAAAATTTAAGAGGTGTATTTAAAAATACACCGCGCCCGAAGGTTTAAGATTAAGAGTGGCGATAAAAAAGGCGAGCCAGCGTAAATAAGAAACAGATTTAAAAATACACCGTGCCCGAAGGCGAGATCTATAAATGAGAGAACTCATAAAATAAGTTTTGCTAAATTGCACATCATGGCATATCATGGGTGATTATATCAATGGCGGCGAGAGGCGAAATGAGTTTAAGCTTCTGGGTGAGTCTAGAAGAGCATAAACACGTGAGCAGTCTAAGCTTCAGGGTGAGTCTAGAAGAGTAGAAACATGTGATCAGCGTCCGGCATTAAGATTGGTCGAGGAGTCAGAGTTCGAAAAATGAAGTTTTTTGTAGTTTTTGGAAATAAATAAAGTTTGAACATAGTAAAAGCAACATCTATCTTTGAATTTAAGAGTCCTATGTCTTTTGAAATACTTGAAAATCATCTAAACTTGCGATATTATCATTAAATGAATAGGAAACTGTAAAAGGTGAAAATGAGGTCATGTGGCTCACTAGGGCTAATGAGTGAGAGTAAGCACTTGGTGTTGACCACGAACTTTGATTTTAAAACACACGATCCGAAATAGTAAAAATAAAAAGTAAAATTCAAAATCTTGGTTAAATAAGTAGTAAAACGAAGAATTCATCCATGAAAAATAAAGTCCTAACTTTGCAAAGTTCATCTTTCTTGAATAGTAACTGAAGAGTAATAATAAAATAAAAATTTTGTACAATATATACACTACCACCACTTAGAATTGTGGTGGATCGTTCGAGGTCTTTTCACTACGTGCTCAATAGTAGGGTCATAGTCTGTAAGCGATTTAATAGCTTTATAGGGAGAATTTTTCATATCTTCAAAGAAGTTGTCATTAGATGGTACTGCGAGGCTTAAGCTTTATAGTTTGGCGAAAAATTAAGTGCTAAAAAGTGTGCTGATGATTATGCTAGTTCATTTGATGTTTTAAATAATTTTATGGATGAACAAGATTTTTACTTCCTTGGTACAAAGAATTGTAATCACGGAAAAATTTCGGGCATCACATTTCAATGAAAATATCCATCTTGAACTCTCTCGAATCTATTTGAATGTTTTTTTTTTGTTTTTTTTTGTTTTTTTTGTGTGTGTGTGTGTGACATCTATATTTACGGACAGAATAAGGGAGTATTTTTTCCAAAACGGATTGTCAAATGGATTCAGAAGAGATATTGTATATCCCTATATGTATAAGGGAGAGATGCCTTCATGAAGGACTTTTTAAGGAAAACTGGCTCGTATACATGTTACACATGGGGAAATCCACGAAAACGCCCATGCAACCAGCCTGTTCGCCTAGAATGGGAACTACCAGTGTTCAGCAACTTTACCGCTCGGCCACTGGTTGGATATGTATATTTTATGAAATAAATTTAAATGAAGTGCAGCAAAAATTGTGTATAATTTAACAGGCCGTACAATGATATTGTGATGTCCACATCATATATTTTAAATCTGTTTTCAAGATATTTTTAAACTTTATGAGTTTCAGTAAATGCTACAATATTTTTCTGGATTTTATGTCCGTAGCAGCAAAAACTAGATTTCAAGGAATGTCAGAGATACATTTCATTTGACCGCCATGCCGAGAACTTTTGACTGAATATTATTGTCTGCTGCATACTGTTTTTCTTTTTTTACAATTTTCATGAAAAGTGACCTTTTTTTTTTAATATCTAACTTATAATGAAAGCTCAAATTGAGTACCAAATTACTTCAGGTAGTGTATTTAAACCACTTCCGTTATATTAATTAATATTAGCTCTACTATGACGAGTTCATGATTTTTAAAACAAATATTTTATAACTTGAATAAGATTAGTAATATTTGATACTTTAAATCTTTGGCCAATTAAGAATAGTATATATACTGAATATAATTTATATACATAAGATATAAGCTGATTGTTTTTTAAATCCTTTTCTCATTTTTATCACATTTGCTGATTTTACATTTAAATTTATTTTTAGCGGTTTCGACGGCAAGGATAACAGCTTATATGTGGGGTGAAACCAGCAGTAAATGACATGGGTTTGGACATCCAAGCGTCATCAAAGAAAAAAAGATGTAATAGAATGTCCCGCTTGGTACAGCAAAATTGACGCCAGACAGTGGCTCAGCTCACAAACCAGTACAATGCAGGTTCAAGTGTAAGTGTTTTGGAACACACAGTTCAGCAGACACCATTGGATATGGGACTGCTCAGCAGACGTCCTACTCGTGTGCCTCTGTTGACCAAACTTTACTGTCAACTACGCCTACAACGGGCCTGGAAACATCGAGACTAACCATGGATAAGTGAAAGACAGTTGCCTGAATTCACAATTTCTTATTCATCACATCGATGGTCGTGTCAGGGTACACCGTCTTCCAGGTGAACAGTTGCACCCCCCAGGTCACACACAGGCTAATGGCAATATTAAGCTTTGGGGGGGGGCTTCTCATGGGCGGCTCTGTGACCATAATTTGTGGTAGAACAGACCGTGAAAGCTACGGACTACCTGAACATAACTGCAGATCAGTCTTTTACTGGAAATGGAATTGTCCAGCAGGACAACGCCCCATGTCACAAGCCTCGAATTGTGTTGGAGTAGTTCAAGGAGCATAAGGATGAATTCCAGTTAATGTCCTAGCCACCTAACTTGCCGGATCTTAAACTGATAGAGCACATTTGGGATGTCATGAAGCGGCAGCTCAAAGCTCAAGCACAACTATGTCGGAATATTCCGACTTTGCGTGACTGCTGGTTAGACATTTGGTATAAGCTGTCTCTAGTCTTCTACCACGAACTTGTGTCATCCATGCCAAGGTTAGTTGCAGCTCAAAGGTTATTGCCAGCACGTTAATGAGTAGGTGGTCATAATGTTTTGGCTCGTAAGTGTAGATCGTGCGCAACTTGTTTAGAATTTAGAGCAGTAATTATTAGATTTGCACTTGAGACTAGATGGGTATGGAAATGATACTTCTTGCATTGCAATAAAATGG